GAACTGAAAAGGCCTCTCAAAACACAGCAGAGAGAGGCCATCCGAGGTTAATTCATAGAAGTTACACGGAGAATGAGAAAATGGAAGGCAAAGCCATATGTGGTTATAAAGCTCCTGACTGCACTTGAAAGGGCTCTTTGCTAGATTATAAGAAATAAATTAAACCATAAAGAAAACAGCAAGTGAGGATTTTTCTGTTAGTGGATATTTGGAGTAAGTGACAACAGACCAACAATTATTCAGTAACTAGAACTCATAAGGCAGGCAACATACTGACAACAGTGGAAGTTATAGATAAATTTGCAAACTCAAAGAGCTTTACGGAGATAACTGTAAACACTGTATTTTTGTTTATCAAGTGATTAAAAAAATTACACAACCATCTATCAAAATTCAGAGAAAGGAGAGAAGACTGTTCAATGTAAACAAAAAAAAGGCTTCTTCTGTGTGTGTGTATTTATTGAGCAGGACCTCGAAAGGAGGGTCTAATCTGGACAGGNCCAACAAAGGTCCGTCTAGTCAAAACTATGGTCTTTTTCAGTAGTCATGTACGAATGTGAGAGCTGGACCATAAAGGCTCTGAGCTGAAGAATGGACGCTTTCGAATGGTGGTGTCGGAAAAGACCCTTGAGAGTCCCTTGGACAGCAAGGAGATCAAACCAGTCAATCTTAAGGCAATCAAGCCTGAATATTCATTGGAAGGACTGACGCTGAAACTGGAGCTCCAATAGTTTGACCACCTGACGAGAAGAGCTGACTCATTGGAAAAGACCCTGATGCTGGGACAGACTGAAGGCGGGAGAAGAAGGGGACGATAGAGGATGAGATGGTTGGATGGCATCACCAATTCAACGGATGAGTTTGAGCAAACTCCAGCAGACAGTGAAGGACAGGGAAGCCTGGCGCGCTGCGGTCCATAGGTTGCAGAGTCAGACACGACTTGGTGACTGAACACCAACAGTCCTCATGCCTCTTAGACTTCTGCCATTTGTAGTGGGTGGGGGAAAAAAGAGTTCGTCAAGGATGGAATTTCCTAAGAATTTCTTAGTAATAATAATGAAACATCATCTCTGATATAGCTTTAGTATTTGAGTACGCAGGTATACAAGTCACGATTATAAGCTCTAAGTGAAAAGCAAAGTTTTAAGATTCAAACACTGACAGGAGCCTCAAGCTTTTTGTGTGTGATGCATCAGGTCTCAGCTGTGGCAGGTGGGATCTTTAGCTCCAGCATGCAAACTCTTATTTGCAGCATGTGGGATCTAGTTCCCCGACCAAGGATCGAACCCAGGTCCCCTGCACTGGCAGCGCAGAGTCTTAGCCACTGCACCACCAGGGAAGTCCCCTTAAAATCTGAAATCCAAACAGTAAGTGTTTTATGACATCTTTAGAGGTAATATAAAGAAGCACCTTTTGTGTGCCTGCGTGTGTTTTTACACAAGATATCACCTTTTGGTTTAAGACAGAAATACAAGTCAAAACCTTTCCCTTGGTAGAAAACTTCCCCTCTTAATTTATAAGAAAAAAAGCTACAATTAGCAGCCCCCAAGCAATCAACCATTAAAAGTAAAACCTCAAAACTGCGTCCCTCAATAAAAGCCAACAACTCCATAAAACAAGAGATGAAAGCAAATACAGAAAAGCTTAGGGGAGATACTATAAAATAACAAGATACAGCAAAATAACAAAATGAAATGAAACCTCAGCAGGTACACAGCCCAAGAAAGAAGCATAAGGGGAAAATAAAACCCTAACAGGAAAAAAAAAAAGGCCGCAATGGACACGGTACAAAGGAGGACAGACCCTGTTGAAGACGTGCTGAGAGGCGGGGTAAGCAACACCAGCCAGAGGAGACGGGACTTGGTTTTTCACACAGTGAAGTGTCTGGGGGCAAGCACTTCCGGGAGCGGCTCCTCCTGGTCTTAAGTCTCCTGGGGAAGAATTTGGCAATCTTCTCCCATCCTTCAAACCACAGGCGGCTGGTCTAACCGGAAGCCCCGCTCTCGGGCTGCCTCCCTGCGGCGGTCTTCAGACCTCCGCTCTCCCCTGCCTAACTGGGAACCTGGGACTGAACTGCACTCAGGCTGGGCACCCAAGTCAAAGCCGGTCAGGCTTCCCAGTGTCCAGCCCTAGGAGTGTGACGTCTTTCGCCTCGCAAAGGGCCCCAGCAGCTGCTTTCCTCTTCCCTTCTCTTGAAGACTATTTGCATCCCTGAAACAGGGACGTATGGAAGTCAGACAACTCTGTCTCCGGCCAACTTCAGCTTACACACTGAGGAAACAGCTTTCTCTCTTTTGGTGTCACGATTTCACTTCATTCTTATCATGCATCAATCATTCTGCTTCAGGGGATGTGGTGCTATAAATAACATTGTAAATGTGACTTTAAGCAGGCTAGGTTCGGTTAACTAGAAGGCCTTGTCCGGGTGTTTACAGCAGTGGTCTCTAAACTCTGACCATCATCCTAGGAAGTACAGGATTTGTGGGCATGCAAATATGTTTATGGATAGATGATGTGGACATGCGCTACAGTATTCATATGTTATGTTCATTATAAAATACAGAAATTTCTAAAAAAAATCAAAGATAAAAACATTTCACTTATTCATGGCAAATGAGTTTTTGCCATCACTTGAAATTATGAAGAACACTTAACAAGAACAATGTGATTTTCACATACTTTATGATTTCTGAACATCACGGGTGAATTCTTTGTGACTGATCGATTTCAGTGTTTTTTAAATACTTTACTTATTATGTATTTGGCTGTGCGGGGCCTTCGCTGTGGCACTCGGGTCTTCGAGGCACACACACGGTCTCCCGCTGTGGCTCAGAGGCCCAGAGGTCGAGGCGCGCAGGCCTCATTGCTCCGCAGGATCCGGGACACGAGTTCCCCAACGAGGGATCACACCCGTGGCCCCTGCACCGCGAGGCGGATTCTTGACCACGGGACCACCGGGGAAATCCCAAGTTCAACTTGTTTTAATACTAGGTCTTACATAGACAGATCCAAACAGGAAATGGGCATCGTGACACAGAATCTCTCAGTTTTTAATTCTATCCTCTGATTATAAGAAAGTTTAAGGGGTTTGTTTTATTTTGTTAACCATTTTGTTGGTATTGCTAATTGAGATTCAGCTAATAAATATTCATCTCTCCTGATATCAATTAGTTAGTTGCTCTTATCAAAGCTATTAAATTTTTATATTGATACTTTAAAAAAATTGTGCTGTCAAATCACAATGCTTCCTTTTTTTCAGCAGATTAGAACACTGTTTCCGACTTATTGAGCATGCAAATATAAAGGTTTTAGTAGGTGACACATATTTTTAAAAACAGAATCACATTTCCAAACACCCATTCTCAAAAATGTTCTCCCTATAGCACAGGTTTCTTTGGAGAAGTAGTTACTTTCCCACTCACTGCTAAAACACGGTTTCTACCTTGAAAGGCTGTACTTAAGTGGATTTTTCAAAATTACATTTGTGGCACGAGGGGACAGCTCCTAAAACCTTTTAACACCCAAAGGTCAGCAAATGTGGACACCTGTCTTTTTGTAAAAGTAAAATGAAGTAATTCTTCATTCTTTTTGTGAAAAACCACCACCATGTGGTATAAATCCATTGACTCTCATTACTCATCCCAGAATGTACACAGATACCACAGTATCTGAAAGGCCGTGATATTCTGGAATAAACGGAGTGATACTGTCTTGGGGTACCTTGTCTGCAACTGGCTTGAACTCCTCTGCTCTTCAATAGCTTGCTCAATAATCTGCTTGCAAATGACGCAGCAAAAGAATTTCATATATGTCACTATTGATGACAGTGAGAGTAGATTCTTATTTCAAATAACCTGCCTGATAATTTCTACTGAGAACTGGCTTCTCGTCAGATTTCATGAAATTACTTTAATCCAAATGGGAACACCTGCCAGATGTCCACCAATATCTCTTCTCTCCTTCTTCCTCATAGCAGAAATTCCATTTGAGCACACATGGCTGCCCAAAGCAGAGACTACATTTTCCAGACCCACCTCTGCCTTATACCTACTCATGGCCTTGGAACTAAGCTTCGGTCATGGGGATGTATGAAGAAACAATGGATAGCCTTAAAAAGAGAGGCCTATCTTCTGCTCCCTTTCCGCCTATCTATTTGGAATTCAGGTGTGATGGCTGGAACTTCGGCAGCTATCTGGAAGCAAGAGGGAGAAGCCAGGTGCTGAGGCGGCCAGAATAAAAGGGCAGGAATCTGGGCCCTTCACAGCTGTGCTACCCTCAGATCAGCCCTGGACGCCCCTGTGTTTCCGGCTCTTTTTTTCAAGCTTTGTTATTTTGGGTTTTCTGGCAACAGGGCTGATGAGGAGCTCATGTGAGCAGTCAGAGTAGAGGCAGCGCTGCCATCTTCTCACAGCAGCGTGTGCTGACACCACTTACGATACCTTCACCCTGCAGTGTCCCGACAGAAGTGTTCACAACACTCGCCCACTCTGTCAGGATCAGCTTACAAGGACGATGTGAATGCAGTCCCTGCATCTACCTTCTCAGTGTGCGTGAACCGCAGCACGGGTCCAGCACTGCTGAACCCACCTGTATTCTCCATGCGACCCAGAGGCTGTTTGTAACCTGGGTCTGATGAAATGCAGACCTCGGGGAGCACCGGCATCCCCGCCAGTGTTAAGAGCTTTGCAGGGCGGGTGTGGCCAGCACGTCACTGCACCAAGAAGCCCTACTTCCTCTCTGCTCCTCTCCACCCCTGCCAACAAACGGTTCTGCACCTTCCTGGTATGCAAGCACTCCACCCACTTTAGGGCCCACTGTCAAGGCTGTGGATGGATTAACAGCTAACTATAAAATTCTCCCCTGGACCACGACAATATCCTGTGAGAGGAACACGCCCACCAGTGAAAAACAAGCATAAGTGAGTGTTCTCCGTAAAACTGAAAATTTGCACAGGCAAATGGTAAAACAAGGGCATGTATGCATAAAGACGGATGCCTTACCTGAATACCTCGAGAATAATCCTTTCTGATAACTTGGGAGCCACCCGCTTAAATGCTTTCTTGAAATCTTCCAGAGTTAAATATCCACGATCTATTTGAAAGCAGAATACATAACATTCATGTACTACTAAAAGTCCTGTGAACTGCTATTTCACCATTGTATTTGCGTGTGACTTTAACATATAACTAGGAGAAAAGCAGGAATCTACAGTTGATTTTACACGTCAGGTAATCTGAGATTGCCTCACTGGATTACGGTATTACTCTAGTATCATTCCTGTTGTACAGGACAGTCCCAGATGCTCCCGAAGCTTTCTTCCAGCCCCATCCCTTGCCGGCTCCCTGAGTCCCAGCGGGAGCGCTAAGAGACAGGCAGTAGGCTTCCGGTCTCTTTGAACTGCCAAAATAATTCATTCTTCAAAATGCACACATTTTTTCACATTTTTTTTAACATTTTTTTTCTTGCTTGGTTTTAGAACTGCATTATTATTTAGAGGGAAAACCATCACAGAAGCCAAAATACTGAACCTGGACTCCACGAGTCTTTCAACCCTGCGTTCTGTGAGGAGTGGGTCCAAAGCCACCCTTCTCGGCCACCCCAGCATGGGAAAACAATGCCTCCAATCACATGTGGGTCAGAGAAGGCGCCAGAGGAAAAGGCCCCGTGGTCTCCCAAGCTTCCATAGGTTGCTCTTCACCTATATTCCCACGTGGCCAGCCCTTCTGACGTTCCCATTAAAATGCAAGCAAATTGTAAGTACAATCAGATTACTGCCGATGCTATTTCATCCACTGTAAAGGTCAAGATGTGGTTAAGGCTGTGATGGAGGAAAAAATATGTACACCAACAACTACCATAACAGCTAATGAATGTAGGAAAACAGTCTTCCAATATATTATTTTATTGGGTTGGCCAAAAAGTTAGTTCAGGTTCTATAAGATGTTGTGGAAAAACTCGAACAAAGGGTCTTGATCAGCCCACTATTTACTGAGTATATGTTCCCATCCACAGTTCCTTAATAGCAATTTTTTATATCCAAACACTTTAAAGATACTTACAGTGCCTGTCAAAAGCTGTGAAGATGTGTCTTACTTCATTGCAATACAGTTGAGCTTCCTTCTTTTTCCTTACGATGTCTAAAAACTCCTTAAGTTGTATCCCTAAAAATTGGAAAAAAACGAGTTTACCAAAAATGACTGTCTTCCTGTTTAAGAAAAAAGTGAAAGTGAAAGAGGCTCAGTTGTGTCCAACTCTTTTCGATCCCATGGACTGTACTTCATGGAATTCTCCAGGCCAGAATACTGGAGTGCATAGCCTTCCCCTTCTCCAGGGGATCTTCCCAACCCAGGGATAGAACCCAGGTCTCCCGCATTGCAGCTGGATTCTTGACCAGCTGGGCCATCAGAGAAGCCCAAGAATTCTGGAGTGGGTAGCCTATCCCTCCTCCAGGGGATCTTCCTGACCCAGGAATCGAACCTGGGTCTTCCTGCATTGTAGGCGGATTCTTTACCAGCTGAGCTGCCAACATAAACGGATAGTGATACTATCGCCCACAAATGTTACCTTGATCTTGGTAAGCAGTATCCATTCACACAGATCTCTAAAGCTGAAGAGGCATTTTGTTAAAAGCCACGCCGGCTGCACATTAGTGACATGTAAGACACTCCAACCAGCATCACAGCACTTCAGGAGCCCCGAGCTGCTCCTGGGGGCAGAGACGATGACCGTGGAGAGGCGTGGCAGTCTTCCCCCGAGATCCAATGGACGGGGCTAAAGCTACTTACAACACAAGATCTCCTAACTCTTCCTTCCACGGTGTCTTTGATCCCTTTTCTCGTAGCCAGGTGTCATGACGACAGGTTTTTCTCCAGCTGGGAGAGCGGGGCGAAGAAGTAGTTTCTCAAAAGTCAATACCAATCGCACACCACAGATAGAGGTGGAGCGAACACCCCATAAACAATAGAGCTGGCAGTGTCCCCAGCCTCCAGGACACCCCATGACTGTTCTGCAGCCTCGGGCTCTACTTCCTGTGGTCCTCATAATAAAAGAGCCCAGCGTGATCACAGGAGATTGGATACTGCGCTCACGATATCTATTAAAAGGAATTCTAATGTGATCTTTGTAGTAGGCTTAAAGAGTGAAGCCAAGAATTTAAACGTTTTAGTGAACTGAGCCCTAAATATATAAAAAGAGCAGTTCGTTTTTATAAGTCAGGATTTCCATTTTAAAATGTATCACTCTTTTAAAAATAGCCCCAAATCACACAGTAACCACGTGCTAATTTTTAAGGACTTGCACCCTTTTCCTTTTGGTGAGGTATACTGAGCTACATACAGTTCCCAAAATAGTTTCAATATTTTTTTTTTTAAGTAGAAAATAGTTTTCTAAATTTTCCACGTTTTCTTATTTGTAGTTAAAGATTTAGGAATTTGAAAATGTCTATCTCGGGGACTTCCCTGGTGGTCCAGTGGTTAAGATGTCACCTTCCAGGGTAAGGGGAGCAGTTTCAATACCTGGTCAGGAACCAAGATTCCACATTCCTCAAAAGCCAACACATAAAACAGAAGCAAAACTGTAAGATATTCAATAAAGACTCAAAAAATGGCCCACATAAAAAAAAAAAGCCGATCTATGTGTTTAAATTATCCTTTTGTAGGACTGACTGTGTGCCCAGCACTGTGTTAAGCTCTAGAAACAGAAGGGAAAAGAGAAAATACAGATTTCCTGTGCCAAGGGAGTCAATGGTCTACTGGGGGAGACAGAGACTCTGCAGATTCAATTACAAATGTATAAACAATTACAAACCAGGACTTGTGCAAAGAGGGGGATAATAGGAGGGCGTGAACATGTCACAGAAGCCCTCCGGTCGGGCAGGGTCAAGGCTGCGGAAAGGCAGGCTCAAGAGGGAGTGGCTAGAGGTACACTTGGAGCTGATTCACTTGTGCAGCAGGAGCCAACACAACGCTGTAAAGCAATCACACTCCAGTAAAAAGTGAGTAAATAAATACAAGAGAATCAATTTCCTCCCTTACTTAGTTATGTGTGTGTGTGTGTTAGTCGCTCAGTTGTGTCCAACTCTTTGTGACCCCATGGACTGTTGTAGCCTGCCAGACCCCTCTGTCCATGGGATTCTCCAGGCAAGAATACTGGAGTGGGTTGCCATTAAAAGCCTTTAGACTGTATACCAAATGATAAAACAGGAACTGAAATAATTAATATCAATAAATTACTATTACCATGAAAACAAACAAACAAAAAGAAATCATCCTGTAGAGTGGACTCTGGCGAAGAAGAGATTTCTCAGAGGAGGTAACACCGAGGCTAAGACCTAAATGAAACTCCAATACTTTGGCCACCTGATTCGAAGAGCTGACTCGTTGGAAAAGACCCTGAGGCTGGGAAAGATTGAAGGCAGGAGGAGAAGGGGACGACAGAGGATGAGATGGTGGGATGGCATCACCAACTCAACGGACATCACTTTGAGTAAACTCCGGGAGTTGGTGATGGACAGGGAGGCCTGGCGTGCTGCAGTCCATGGGGTTGCAAAGAGTCAGACATGACTGAGCAACTGAACTGAACTGAATGCCTAAACGGTAAGAAGGTACCAACTGGCTAAAGCGTCAGAAGAGCACTCTGCACGGTGCAACGAGCATGTGCCCAGGCCATGGGGAGCGAAGTGCGGGAAACGAAAAGGCCCCTGCGGCTTGGCAGTGGTGAAGACACGGGCTGGGAAAGGAGGGAGCAGCTGAACAGGAAATAAGGTGGTTTTTATTTCGGTTAATAGGAAATCAAGTAAGAAGTCTGGATTGAGAAGTGACAAGATCTGATTTAGAAAGATCGTGGAAGTATCTCTCTGGCTATTGTTTTGAGAAAGCAAAATAGAGAAAAGGAGACTCATTAGGCTCCTACTGGCCAGGCAGGTAGTCAGGAGGGTGCGGGCAGCAGGACCCGGGAGCGATGGAAGGTTCCAGACAGACTGCAGAGAAGAAGGGTTAGACACGGAGCGTGCAAAAGAAGATGCCAAGGTCGAGCCCCGAGAGGAGGCTTGAGGAGTCGTTTAAAGAGACGGGAAAGGCAAGGGGAAGCGGGAGCGGGGTGGCAGAGAGACGGAGTGGCGATTTGGAGATGCTAGCAGTTTGATGCTTTGGAGACAACCAAGAGTGAAAGGGAAGAACAAGTGGCAGCAGACGCTTTGGGCACTTAGATGTGCAACGATGCAGCCCCACTCTCATCAGGCCCCCCGGTAATAACCTGCTGCACGTCTACCCGAGACTCAGAGAGAAGCCCTGTCGTCAAGTTCATCCCCAGTGCTGAGGAAGATGTTTAGCCTGTAGAAGCACTCCTCGCATGCTGAATAAGTAAATAAACTCATGTGTGCATGCTAAGCACTTCTGTCATGTCCGACTCTTTGTGACCTCATGGACTATAGCCTGCCAGGCTCCTCTGTCCATGGGATTCTCCAGGAAGAATACTGGAGTGGGTTGCCATGTCCTCCTTCACGGGATCTTCCGACCCAGGGATCGAACCTGCATCTCTTTCGTCTACTGCATTGGCAGGTGGGATTTTTGTCACTAGCGCCACCAGAAGACATTTTTTCTATTAGAGTTTTCAGCAAAAAGCATTAAAATGTGTGTTTTAAATGCTCTTATAACTCTGGACACTAATGCCAAAAAGTAGGTCACTATTTAATCACACAGCCAGCAAAATCATCATTTTAGAAACCCCAATTTCTTAATACCTATGATACAGTAAAAAACAAATTTCAGAGGGAAAGGAAATACATGCATAATATTTGCTCTTCACTTATTGCATTTGATTTTGGGAAATGATAAGAAAAAAAGCACAAGTGCATTGTTCATTATGTGATAAAGATTCACAAGGAAAAAATGCTACATGAGCAGGGAATATCTTTTAAATTACACATTCAGAAGACTCACCACTATTTGGGGCTATATAGTCAGGTCTTTATTTCATAATCTTGGGGGTAAAAAGCAAATATTCTTTACTATTTCCTAGGAGAAAATATATGCAACTGCATATATTCAACTTCAATGCTTATTACCACTTAAAAAGAAGAAACAGGGACTTCTCCGGCAGTTCCGTAGTTAAGACTCCAAGCTTCTAATGCAGGGGTTCTGGGTTGGATCCCTGATCAGGGAACTAGTATCCCACAAGCCTCATGGCATGGCCAAAAAAAAATAAGAAGAAACAACCTAATAATACAAATAACTCCATAAATGTAATCAAGTTCATTCATACTATTTTCCCACAGGATCATATACCTTGTGTTTTTAAGTCAACATCAAACCACATAAACATACCCTACAGCCTCATCCCCACCCCGCCTTTAACTTGCCTTAATCTTCAATAGCGACACATGCAAATGCATTCAATGCCAATGCAAGTTTCTTTTCCAGAAAGAATAGGGCAGTTTCCATCCAGCTGAGTGTTCATGCTGCAGAAGCATGATGACTTTCCAAGACCAGTGTATAAAGGTGGGTTATTCCTACAGCCCTGTGATGCAAACACTTTAATGAAAGTTTTAAATGTCTTACTGCTCTTTAAATGGCCTAGAAATACAGTTCCTACTATGAGCTTCACCTGCTGTCACAGTATTCGAACCTAAAATTACCGCTTCACAAAGATTTGCCATAACTCTCATTACCTGTGTCCACGCCTGGAGTGAAAGAGAATGTTGAGAACCTTCTAATTCCAAATACAAGGTTGAGTCTTCTGTGTAAACTATTCTAATGATAAAAGTTAACCTAAATACACTTTGCTATAGTTACATGTTAAGGTCATGACAACAGGAATCACATAGACCTGTGTGTTTGTGTTTATCATTAATCTCCAGAAGGTGTTCAAAAATTGCCTAGGTCAGGCAACAGAGACTCGGAGAACAGACTTACGGACACAGCGGGGCAGGAGAGGTGAGCCGAGTGGAGAGAGCAGCACTGAAATATACACACGATGATAAGTAGAACAGAGAGCGGAGGGGAGGCCACGTGTCCTGCAGGGAGCTCAGCCTGGTGCCCTGGCCATCCAGAGGGGTGGGGAGGGCAGGGAGCGGAGGCTCGGGACAGAGGGCGCCGTGTTTACCTACGGCTGATCCATGTTAACATACGGGGGAGTCCGAACCACGCTCTGAAGCAATTATCCT